CGCTTACATCTGGTCACCTAACTCCCCAGACTGCAACCCCCTTGATTATTGTGTGTGGGGTGAGGTTGAACGAGTGGCTGCCTTGTAACACTAAAGATGAACTAAAGTCGAGAATTATGTATGTATACAGCAACTTAAACAAGGAGACCGTCCCGAAGAGTTGCAGGAGATTCCGAAGTCATCTCGAGGCAGTGATTGAAACAAATGTCAATTTTATTAAATAAATTTACTCTTTAGTATTTCAAAATATTTTTGTGTAAATATATCTGTGAAAACGAGATGTCAGTATTATTTTCATTTTTGCGTAATTTATACGACAATTTATTCATCGCACCGATTAGCTTCTATTATTAGGATATTGATTTGTTTTTTGTTCCAGATCCTTATTATCTGCACTATGAATACCTATATCATCAGCATAGGCAACACCTCATAATCAGTAAACTGGCAACGGAAGGGAAACCCTGTTTTCTATTAGAGGAATCATTTCGGATGTGGTATAGAATGTTTAATGATTTAGATGAGCCTATCACTTCACATCTGTGCTTTTATATGCATCGTCTAAAAATAGATTATGCAGATTGGGTCTCGCATTTCGTCCTTGTACTTCTGATAAGGTTTCAAATGATTCGGTATTTGGTGTCTGATACGTATATATATCTAACATCATGAGACTGATGTTTAAGCCGATGTCATATAGCATTTAGAATCCTGTTTTTTATGACAGTCGGTTTCTGTAAATATTTTCTTGAAGCATACCATATTATCTTTAATTAGAAGAACAGGTAAATTACTAGAACCTGAAAGATACCTAAAATTGTGTTTAGAAAATTATATAAGATATAACTAACTAAATTTGTGGTTTATAGTGCAACTATGCTGAATAGACCTTAGATACAGAAAGAGAGCACATAATCCCAGTGTTATCAATTTCGTATGCAGACTCTTGATCATAATGACGTGTGTCTTCCTGCTAGTACAAGCATCGACTGCTTCCGAGCGTTTACGTCGACACAATTTCACCCACAAGGCTTGGTTTAATCCAAGATATGATTTTGGGGCCTTTTCCAAGTGAATAAAATCAAGAAATCACCTAGCTGGCAAACCGACCATGGTGAGATTCAAAATCATTGTCTAATGATAGATAGATAGATAGATAGATAGATAGATAGATAGATAGATAGACGGAGAAAGTTAATGAAAAACGCGATTTATTAAGCTAATTTAAGTTTTTAAAAAACTTCTATTTAAAAAATCTATCAGAAAACATGAAAACAATGCAAGAAAGAAAGAACAGAGAACCATGGAAATATTTTTACATTGTACCCTTCGATGGGTAACGTTTCCCAATTGCGCTTTAGCCTTCATTATTTCCGACAAATTACACAATTTATCTTCCAGGAGAGATGACATACCAGGTTAACATGTAAGCCTGTCTTAAAAATATTACACAAAGTTTTTTTTTATTTACTAATTTTCCCTACATTTTCGACACATTTCCAATTTCTGAAGAGATTTCAGTCTATTCATCCTCTTGATAGATAGAAACTAATAAAAACATCACCAGAAATGAAGCGAAAAATTAGGAAAAGAAATACGAAGTGTCTCTAAAAAGAAACAGGACTGGGTGTGAAGTGTTAACGGGGATATGCACGCACACACGATACACAAAAATGGAAATGGATTTGACAGTCTCAAGGGTAATGTAGGGATAGAAAAAGATCTCTCATCCACACATCTATCATCACCACCACTAACGCCAAACCTAATGATTTTATTACAACTTAGGCTGAAATTCACTTTTTCCAATAGTCCAGGAATGAGATCAAGGCTCACTACAAATACAGAACATTAAAATAACATACGGAGAATTCATTCCTTTAAAAATTTATTCCATTTATTTGCCTGAAGAACGTCACGAAACCGCAAACACGTGTAGTAGAAATATGAAAAATAAAAGATAATATATACACTAAAACAAATCCACATTAAAACCAAAAACGTTTATTGTTTCTTTCTTTTCTTTTAAAATATATTTTCTCTCTCTGGAATAACTATAAACTTTTACCTATATATATATATATATATATATATATATATATATATATATATATATATATATATATATATATATTGAGAGAGAGAGAAGAATAATGCCCTACTGGAACAATCTTCCTATTCACCTGATCTTGCTCCGCGTGACTTGAAAAACTTAAGTGGCTCATTAAGGAGAACCGGTTTGTCCGTGTGTAGGTCATCATGAGAGCTTAACGACGAAGCTGATGGGCATTCAAGAAAAAAAATCCTTCCAACAGTGCATAGAAGCGTGACAGAGAAGAAAAGTACATTAGACACAAAGGTTGATTACACTGAAGGGGAAACCATGTAGTTTGTTTCTTGGAATTAAAATAACTTGTTTGTGACACTAGATCCATTACTTTTCAGACATGAAAAGATATAGAAACGTAATATTCGTTCCGCTCTTAAGTGCCACGCTTGGGCGATCATGTCGATTCATGATTGACCTGGCCGAAGAATTCCTGCAACAGGTTGCCGTTACTTTTGGTGATACAGTAGTTGCCAACCAAGGCTATATGACCTAGTCTGTCTTGTTATTTAACGCACAGCTGGGCGAGAAGAGATCGTATTTGTGCGTCAGTGAATGACACGATCTTTACTAGAATTTGAATCTGGCTCTCTGATTTCTGAGTCCGAGCCTCTATTCATCACACCACCCGCACATCCAAGCTTACAGCTTTGGGTATTCCGAAGCGGTCACCCATCAAGGTATTGAACAGAATGAGCGTTGTGTCTTCAAAAGTCCACCCATTGAGATCGGTGATCGAAGTTACAGGACCGTAGATCAAACGCCATTGAACAATTATAAAAAGGGTGGGATAAATAACAAGGGTAGTCTGAGCTCTCTGGCCTCAGATCAGTCAAAATGAAAGAAATAGCTGAGTTCTAAACCATAGAGAATGTAATAGGAACTACTTCACTATCTTTCCAAAGGTGTCATGCTCGAAAGAAAAAAAGAATATGTAGAGATCCATGATCGCCTATACCTATATATACATCTACCAAATGGAACGATTTCGCATTCATCTACATATGACACAATCAACGCAGACTGGCTTCTTTTGTCTTGGCTGAAAGTCAGTCTACGAGAAGGACTACACTGGATAAAAATAAAGAAAGTGGAGAAAACAACAGAAAAAAGATTCCATTATCTTTCCCCAAAAGTTATGGCAATTCACAGATAGAGAATAAAAGCACGTGTGCAGAAACATGATCAACGAATCCACCCCCACCCACGAAGGGACAGGATATTAAAAAAAATCTCCTGTTGAACATTATAAATATATAAGGTTATTAATCTATAAAAAGTTTAAAATATTTCAACTCATCCTTTAAAGACAATCTCTCTTATTTCAGTCATATCTATCTATATATCTATCTATCTATCTTAGTTTAAAAATGCTTAAAAATCATTTCTCGGAATTTAAAATTATGGAAAAGTTTTGAAATTAAGTAATATACAGTGGGGGGAAATAAATATTCGTACACTTGAAAAATTCTATTTTTATAAATGTAAAACCCTTAAATAAAACAAATCTCGACACTTATATGTCTAAAGACACATACTATTAAAAATAATAATAAACTTATTCTAACAGAAATTAATTCATTTTTTTTAATTCTATCTGGTGAAAAAAGTATCCATACAAATCAATTCTTAGAATAAAATAATCAATTAATTATGAAAAAAGTATATTCTAGAATGTTCCAGTAATGTTATCAGTAATTATAGTTAATGCTATTAGCCATTATCAGAGCATTCTGCAATTTCTTGTCTTACGAGAAGGTTCTAATAATGCCTAAAGGTAAAGAATTGACTATTTCACAAAAACAGCACATTTTGTCTCTTTGGAAAGATGGGAACAGTTACAGAATGATTTCTAACAACCTGAATATTCCTTTTACTACAATTGCTTCATTCATTGCTAGGTTTAAAACTCGTAACAGCGTCGAAAACCAAAGACGAACAGGTGCCAACTGTAAAGTTTGGTGGTGGCAGTATTATGATCTTGGGCTGTTTTTCTGCAAAAGGTGTTGGCAGAATATCAATAATAGATGGCAAGATGAATGCCGAAAGCTACCAGAAAATCCTGCAAGACAATTTAATGCATTCTGCTGAGAGACTTCGGCTACCTCCTGATTGGGTTTTCCAACTGGATAATGATCCTAAGCATACCGCTAGATCTACAAGGAAATGGTTAGCTGAAGTAACGTTGATGTCTTGCAAAGGGCAAGTTGATGTCTTGCAATGGCCAAGTCAGTCCGCAGACTTGAACCCAATCGAGAATTTATGGCGATATTTGAAAATTCAAATTGGGAAAAGAGCACCAACAAATATCAAGAATTTGAAGACAATATGCCAAGAAGAACGGGACAAAATACAACTCAATGTGGGCAAATCATTAGTTGAGACGTACAGGAATAGACTGGTAGCTGTTGAACTCAATAAAGGATATTCCCCAATGTATTAAATTAAGTTAATATGCTTTTTTGTTTTGTACGAATATTTTTTCATCAGTTAAAATGAAAAAAGTGCATTAATTTCTGTTAGAATAAGAATTAATTAAGTTTATTAATATTTTTTAATAAAATGTATCTTTACACATAAAATGTACCAACATTTGTTTTAGTTAAGGCTTTTACATTTATAAAAATACAATTTTTCTTGTGTACGAATATTTATTCCCCCCCCCAACTGTACATACGTGTATATACCGGATAATGGGCATTTTTAGTTATAAATATAAGATTTATAACTATATTTTATAATCTATCTATCTATCTGTCTATCTATCTTAGATTAAAAATACATTATTACTCGGAATTTGATATTTCGAAATTTTCTTTTTTTCAAGTGATATACATACGAATATATAGAGATATTTGGTACATTTACCGATAAATATAGCATGATTTAAAAGTATGTTTTTAAATCTATCTATCTATCTATCTATCTATCTATCTATCTATCTATCATGGGGAAATATCTCCTGATACACTGAAATATCAATGTAGATTTCGTAGGGGAGAAAATAAGATTAGAGAAATCAAAGTAGAAATTGTCTTGCCTGTAGTAACGTTATGCCTCGTTGATATCTATCTATCTATCTATCTATCTATCTATCTATCTTAGTTTATATCTACATTTCTCGGAATTTGGTGTTATGGAAATTTTTTTATATCAAGTGATGTACATACTTATATATACCGGATATTTGGGAATTTTACCGATAAATGTAACATCATTAAAAGTATATTTTTAATCTATCTATCTATCTATCTATCTATCTATCTATCTATCTATCAATCTATCTATCTATCTATCTATCTATCATGGGGAAATAACTCCTGATACACAGAAATATCAATATAGATTTCGTAGGGGAGAAAATGAGATTAGTGAAATCAAAGTAGAAATTGTTTTGCCAGTAGTGTCGGTATGTCTCGTTGATATCTTCTCATCGATAACATTTGTCATATTTTGCCATAGGGGATTTTTTGTCCTGCGAATTTACATCATGACAATATTTTGTCTTACGGGGAACTTGAAAAAAAATTGGTTTGGCTTCAACACAAACAGACATCATGAGATTATGTGGCTTCTCTGGGAATCCGATAATATTTTTTATTTAAAAGAAGAAACTGAAGCGTAGAGAGAACGGGGAAATACAAAGAGAATGTTGTTTTGTTATTGTAAATGTCTCTTGATATATATATATATATATATATATATATATATATATATATATATATATATATATATATATATATTGTCAGCCACTGACAGATAGTTTCGTTGTATCAAAACTCATCAGTATGGCTAGACATCAGATTGCCTCAAGTCATAATCAAAACCCAAAAGATTTCGCCTTATTCCTCTAAGCTATCAGCTCCCAGCAGAGAGGAAGTTTATTTTTGAATAAACACTCCAGTGACTCAGAGAGCTCAATTCATAGAAGAGCTTTGAATTATCAGCAGTAGCAGTCACTGTTTACAAATTCCCTCTAAAGTGCTCGACTTAATTTTATTTTTTTCATATATATTGTCATCCACAGACAGATTGTTTCGCTGTATCACAATTCATCATTGTGGGTACACATTCGATTGCCTCAAGCTAGGATGGAAACCCAACTTATTTGGCATCCTTCCCCTAAGCTATCAGCTCCCGACAGAAAGGAGGGTGACTTTCTACATGCGCGTGTGTGTGTGTGTGTGTTTACGTATGCATTGGCAAGAGAAATAAGAAACATGTAAAATTGTTGGGTTTCGTTTGAAGACAATATATAAAAGTTACCAGAACTTTCTACAGGAGAACTTCATTCAAACTGTTGTATTCCGAGAGAAAGGATCTATAAAATCTACAAATGATGGCCCTTTGAAGATGCAGTATTTCCATTCAATAGAAGTGATTGTTATTACATGCCATATTTAGGGGAGCTTATAATTTTCGCATATCTTCCAAAGCAGACATTTGCTTACCATATCATTTAAATGAATTTCGGCCAAAAGTAGAGCATACAAATTGATGTTCTTTTCTTCTACAATTCCCCTAACCGCACTTTAGAGACGCAACACTTTTTTTTCAGCACATGAGCTGTTCGAAGCAGTGCTGCCACTTCGATCTCTCTCAAAGATATCAAGTATCTAGGCATCCTGCGACGCAGTAAGATTCCCGGAAATCGTCCCAACCATCCCAACCACAATAATGGCTGCTGCCTGGTGTATTTCTGTGATTTATCAAGCCAGATCCTGATACCTTTGTATTTTCACTTGCTCCGCCCTCCCAATGTTCGTATCACATTATTATTATTATTATTATTATTATTATTCCGATTTTCTCAATGAAGGGTTTTGAATTTAGTAGTACTGACCCAACCGCTTCATTGATAAAACTATCTTTAATGACAAGTGCTTGGAGAGCATACGTGCACTAGAGTTGCCATAACGTTCCACATTTGGAGGTGGGCGTATTTCCCTTGCCATTGAAATTCTGATAATCTGGAACAGACAGGTCATTGACGAGATTTTTTCTTGTTTCTTTGTCCCCTAGAATGATGTCTGTTTTGGTAGCCTCACTGACATGGTGTGTTTGGATGCTGAGATCCCATAAGATTTTGACTCCATCACTTTCTATAGTTACCATTTCTCTTAGAATTCAAGTCAAATTGGTAACAATTCATATGAAAGGCCATATTACCATGAAAACGATTATTTCCCCTTATGCGTTAATTATGTTGTAGATATTATTATCATCATATTTCGATTTCTGCTATGGTCACACTATCTACCAAGTCGGTGGGAAGACCGAAGGCAGGTAATGATGTGTTGTTATGGCTACATTTCACGATTTGTTTTTCCAACTCCCATAGCATCAGTTCCGTTACATGGACAAATTTCTTCTTAGTGTGTGGCCTGTACTTATCAAGACAAGTTTTGTGTTTATCTTAAGCTGGTATTTCCAGGGATTTTTGTCAATGTATTGTTGTTTTCCTTTTTTATCATTCCAAGTGCACCTACTATGATTGGTACTATTCTTGTTTTCTATTTCCTCATTTATTCCATTTCGATTTTCAGTGCTTTATTCTTCGATAGTTTTTCAAATTCCTTGTTACAGTCTGCAGTGCAAGCCATATCTGTTTGTGGGCAAATTCTTTTTTTTCGGTTTTTAAAAATTATGCCCGGGCTATATGCTTCAATCTTCCTGTCAGTGAAGATGGTTTAATCCCATAGAATTTTGATGACTTCTGTTTCTGTCACCGCTTCTGGGTGATGTTCATACCGGTGTTTGTTAATATCTTTTCCAAAGGGATTTAACATTGTTCAATGTAAATATTGCCCAACTCTATCGTGACGATTTCTATATTCATTTGGTGTAAGTGCAGAACATCCTCATATTCGATGGTCTGTGGTTATATTTGTCACAGAATCTGCATTTGGGATACATTATGTATGCTATTTTCCTGAAAGTTCCTAGTGAAAAGACTCGGGTTTTGCGCTGCAAAAATAAACCCTCCCTTTTCAGCCAGATGCTCGTAACCATCGAATATTAACTTTATCAACATCAGCTTTATTAGCACATTCTGGATACGCAGAGGTTTGTCTTGCCAGCGTTGTTTCGACTGCTCAAGAGCTTTATCCTTGGCTTTCTTTTTCAAAGTTTTTGCTCCAATAGTTGGTTCTTGTGTTTTGTTTTGCTTTTCTAGAGAATATACTAAATGTAAATTTCGTTAGGATTTAAAACATTCTTGACTGTATATTTTTCTTTCTTTTTTCCCGTTGTTTGATTAATTGTATCATACAGTCTTTTATTATTTCCATGTATGTTAGTAAGCCAATAGTTGTTATCTTGTATGACAATTCTAGCTGAATAAGACCTCTTCTACCTTTACCGGTTATATATAGATGGTATGTATCACCCTTAGAATGATACATATCATGAATCTTCGAATCCATTCGTCTGATGCCATTTAGAGTCCAGCTCAGGATGTTGAAACTATATTAAACCATTGGGATGGCAAAGCTACTAATGGCCATAATTCTGTTCTGAGTATTCAGTTCAGTTCTTGATATCAGTGCACTCTTCTATAGTACTCTTTTCGCACTATTTTTATCATTTTTTTTTAAATCGTGAATTCCTTCAATCTCATTAACACCTTATAAGCTTCTTGCTCTAATTCTTTGATTGTCACCCTAGGATATAAGCTAATAGAGGAGGTTTGTTGTAGTGATATTCGTAAAATTGTGTTTTTTGCACATTTATCCAAACCGAATTCCATTCCAATGTCATTACTGAAAAATGTTACAGCTGACCGTCATTCTTAGCATAGAACTTTAAATCATCCATGTAAAATAGATGGCTTATTTTCTTTTGAGATGTCTTACGGCTATATTCCGTCCTGTTAATTTCGCTGATTAATGCTATTAGGGATATGCAAAATAGCAAGGGAGACCTTGAAATATTTCTCTGCTGATGTTTATTTCACCAGACTTATAGATTTTATTTAGATAATTGAGGTGGAGTGCTGTTTTCCATATCGACATACATTGTTTGATGAAATTGATGACGACGGGTGATACCTTGCATATAGTTAAAGACGTTAAGATCCAGGATTGGGGTACACTATCAATTACCTCACGTTAATCTATTCAAGCAGTACTGAGATTTTTCTTTGTATTGAAGGAGTTTTCCAAGATAATCCTATTAATTGATTATCCGTAAGAGCCACGTTTGCACACTTTTTGTTCAAAAGGTAGTATGTCATTTTTTCTAAGGACGACTATGTCTGTTTTGTTAAAACAGATGTCAACAGTTTTAAGTCATGAGAAGACATGTAATTGGTCTGTAATTGGTCTGTAGTTTATTATTATTATTATTATTATTATTAATAATAATAATAATAATAGTAATAATTTATTATTGTTGTTTTCCTTCCTTTGTTTTTTGGTGTCTAATCATTTCTTTCCGGGTCCCGACCAGAGATCTAAGATCAGAAAAGGAATCATGATATTTTCCACTGAGAGGTTTTGAAAAAATCGCACATATTTTACAAAGATGAAACCCTTCATAAGGTGTGAGCCGTACTTGTGAGTAAAGGGTTTTGTATTTCTGCAAGGCATGGGCCACTAGGGATTGTTTCAATGAGTCTATAGGAATCTTTTCCAATCAATCTGAAGACTCCAACAACTGGAATTGTTCTCATTTTTGAGATTTCGATTTATTTTGATAGTTTTCTGAAGATCTTCAAAGATACATTATAGTCTACAAGGACTACCATGCCAATAAGGAGACACATTTTGTGTTTGCGGTCTCTAATCCCGATGTCAGGGCGATTAGATTTGATTGTTCTGTCTGTGTGTATTGCAAAGTCCCATAAAATTGTTTCAGGTCCTATCTCCGTAACTGTTGCTGATTATTAGTATTATTATTTTTATGCAGAAATATTCAGTATAATTTGCTACGTGATTGACAAAAATACGCTTATCATTTGGTTGAGTAATTTTG